ACTGAACGAAGTATGCTATATCCTCAGCTGTGTTGGACCTGGAACAAACATTTGAGAACCTCTAATTCTAAAGCAATAAGCAACCTGGAGGGCTTGTTAAAAATACATATTACTGGATCCCACCCCTAAGATTTTTTAAACCAGCTCATCCAATGGCATGGTCTGAAATTTGACATTCTTTGTTTTGTTTTGTGTTGTTTCGTTTTGAGAAAGGGTCTCTCTCTACACAGTCCTGGATGTCCTAGAACTAGCTCTGTGGAACAGGTTGGCCTCCACCTCAGAAATCCATCTGCCTCTTCTGCCAGCCTCTACCTCAACTGCTGGGATTAAAGGTATGGGCTACCATGACCAGCTTAAATGACTGGTGTTTATGCCCATTACCCATTATGGGAGACTTTTGTCCAGAGTGGTTGGCACATCTCTGGTTGATTGGTGCGTGCGTGCGTGCATGAGTGCTTGCATGTTAGTTTTTCGAGACAGGGTTTCTCTGTGTAGGCCTGGTTGTTCTGGAACTCACTCTGTAGACCAAGCTGACCTCAAAGGCACAGAGATCCGCCTGCTTCTGCCTCCTGAGTGCTGGGATTAAATGCATGTGCCACTACACCAGGCTGAAAACTGACATTCTAAAAAGTTTCCAGGTAGTGAGACTGCTTCTGGTCTGGGTATCAGAATAACGAATGTCAGATCTAAGAGAGTCTGGGCAGCCGTGATTCCACATTCCAATCACCTGAAGACTGTTTTAAAACTCCCTTCTTTCAGGTCACTCCCCCAGGTACCTAATTCCAATCTTTGTGGATAGGCAAAGATAACCAATTTAAAACATTCATCAAGTGAGTCCAATATGTAGCCAAATTGAGAATTATTTGGGAAAGAAGCAGTCGTCCACACATACAGCCAACATACAGTCACCCAACATACACACCTACTTTACCCCTAAAGAGGACCTGTAATGAGAAGAGGGGTTTTCAAGGCTAAAATTTATGGAACTTTCAAGCCAGGCAGTGTTGATGCATGCTTTTAATCCCAGCACTCAGGTGGCAGAGGCAAGAAGATCTCTGTGAGTTTGAGGCCAGCCTGGTCAAAGCAAGTTCCAGGACAGCTAGGGCTGTTACACAGAGAAACCCTGTCTCAAAAAAAACAAAAAACAAAACAAAACAAAAAAAAACCAAAAACAAAAATCTATGGAACTTTCAAACCATAAAATCAAGATGCTGAAAACTGTCTTGTTACATTTTCCTCTCTGGACTCTGGTCCTTTTTTCTCTCTTAACTCCCTTTCTTCTCATTCTTTCTTTCTGATTTCCCCCAGGCTAGTGAAATATCTAAACTTGGGAACTTCCACCTGAAGTGCTTGGGGGAAAGCACAGTGAACAACTAACTGAAAAGAAATAATATGCTGGCAATACTGAACGTTTTAAAAGATATCCAAGCAAATATTTCAGATTTCCATGATAAATAGCATTATAAAATCACTGACACTTTTGTAATTAAAATTAAGAATTTCCCTACTGGTAGTAAATTTATGGTGATATCTTTGTTAAAATGCACTGGAGCCATTTGTATTTTCATGTGTTTGAAACAATCTTCAGATAATTATGTTAAGAAGGACCACTATGAAATTAAGTACTAGTTGGCAAGAACAACTCGGCAAAAAAAATTCTCACTAAGATGTTTTACAAGGAACATTGCAGCCAAACCCCAAGACAATGTACCTCAACTTTGTCAAAATGAATAGCTTGACACTCTTTAGTAATGTAGAATTTGAAATGACGGATGATGGCTTTCCTGAAAAAAAAATGCATCCTTTATATACCAGCAACAAAAATGTACTCAACTGGGTATATTTATATATTTGTGCATACACATATATATTGTATATAACAGGAATAATCAGAAAAAAAAGATGCTATCAGTTTGTAGGAATGATTGGAGTGATGGTACCTGGGTGGGGCTGGAGGGAGAAGAGGAGAGGGAAAGTGATGCAGTTCTATTTCAATTAAAAACAATTTTCTACTAATTTATATCTTCACTCTATCCTTTCCAAGAGCATACATCACTATCTCGAAGATGGTACAATGGCACAGAAAAGATTCTTAGAATATATTCATTAAATGAATAAATGACTACCATGATACAATATAATTTTGTGTTGAAATTTTCTCTTTCGCAGCTTCCTACTCTTGAGGGCTGAGTAAGAACCTGAACATAATTTAACCAATGCTGTCCAAACTTTTCTAGTATAGGAAAGTCAAGGCATTCCAAAAGGCAATTTGAGGGTTGGAACTAGTGCTATGGAATTACAAAAGCAGAGGGAGGCAGGGGTAGAGGGAGGGGAAGAGAGAGGGGGAGGGAGAGAGAGAGGTGGACAGAGACAAAGAAAATCTCTCCAGATTCTCTCTTTTGGTTTTGGTTTTTGTTTGGCTTTTACAATTATCTCTCATAAAATTCCTTTTCCTTGTCATAGATGAAAATTCTAGGAAGCAGAATGAAACCAAATATCTCAAATTGCTATGGGGAAGCCACTTAAAAACCTGGGAGAGAATTTCTATTGCTTTCCTTTAGTACCTCTTAGTAGGTTCATAATAAAGTTTCTATTGTCCTATAAAGGAAATAAGCATATTTCAGCAATAATATGATAGCTAAGAGATTCCTAGTTCCCAGGCCCTAGTTCCCAGTTGGTGGTGGTACATGCCTTTAATTCCAGCAGTCCAGAGGAAGAGGCAGGTGGATCTCTGTGAGTTTGAGACCAGCCTGGTCTACACAAGTTAGTTCCAGGATAGCTTCCAAAGCCACAGAGAAACCCTGTCTCAGGAAAAAAAGAAAATAATTTACTAATTCTCTTATATACAACTAGAAATTCACCCGGGAATTTGTGGCGAATGCCTTTAGTCCCAGTACTCAGGAGGCAAAGGCAAGCAGATCTCTGTGAGTTTGAGGCCAGCCTTGTCTACAGACGAAGTGCCAGGATAGGCTCCAAAGCTACACAGAGAAACCCTGTCTCGGGGGAAACACACACACACACACACACACACACACACACACACACACACACACACACACACACACACAAAACTAGAAATTCTCCACAAAGAAAATCCAACCAACATGAACACCAAGGAACAAGCAAATGTTAAAACAGAACTATAGCAGCCCCTAGCAAACGACGCAAATACCAAAGGCAGAATACTGGCTGTGGAATCAACACATAGTTACTTCCCCACCCTCCATTCAAGGGTAGGTATGGCATGCACAAGTGGCTTTTGACTCAAAATGACAAGACTACACTCCCACTGTAATTTTCTGTTGAATGTGTTTTCCTTTGTTTTCAGGAGGTCATAGGAAAAAATGTGTCTTTTTTTTTTAAATACGAACTCAATAATATGCCTGTTTGGAATAAGACTGTTTTGAAGTTTAGAAGATCTACAAAGGAGACACAGGATAGAGGAGAGGAGACACAGGATATATGACTATTCATTGCTTAAAAATGTTGTCGAGGAACCTAAAACAGACACCTTCCCTGGATGAGAACTGGTCTTGGAGATGCAATGAAATCCAGCATATTAAAGAAGAAATCGACTCTGTACTTTACATTTAATACTAGAGACAGCTAACTGGTGAACTGCAAACCAATGGGAACTGAGTCATTCCATCACTACACACAGTGTTTCATGTGAAATGATAGCCCTTAAAACCTCGAACAACAATTTTATCTCTTTGGTCTGTGGAGACATCATTTCTTTTTTATCTAATGGGAGGGATCTAGTAAGGCTGTCCTTCTCAACACAACATAGTGAATAAAACACCAACATGAAAATGATAGAGAAAATGAGGTCTGTCCTGTTCTCTTCCAAAGCTTTTTTCAAGACAGGGTCTCATTCTGTAGTTCTGGCTGGCCTGGAACTCACTCTGTACACCGGACTGGTCCTGACCTCAGAGATCCACCTGCCTCTGCCTCCCAAGTGCGGAGACGACAGGCATGCACCACCACACCCACTTTACAAGCCATTTTGACTTGCTATCTTATGTGTTCCAGACTGCGTTCCCAGTTGCTTTGAGTATATGAATTCCCAGCACCAACAGAAAGAAAATACACATGAACTAGGAGTGTATATGTTAGAGATGCTTGGCAAATGTTGGCATCAAATTCAACATTCCTCTCCATATCCTGGGAAGAGGTCTTGGCCACCAGCTAATAAAGGAGTCAGTGACAACACTCTGCAGGGCCTTGAGATTTTACACACACTGTCCAGCAGCATAATCAGCCACAGGCAATAAAGTTGGCATTAAATAGATACCTGTAGAATGAATTAATTTGTTCAAGTCATTTACACTGTCCTGTTGCCTCTTAAGAAATGTTTCCCTTCAGCTAAAACTGCAGAGCCAATTGACTAAGTGGTTAACTAATGTGCATATTGGCATCAATGTCCACACTGCACCTCCTAAAAATCCACTGGATGTTAGAACCAACTTTGAAGGGTAACCTGGGAGAGGGAGGAGCTGTCCTCTGCACATAAATTCCTTCCAAAAAACAGGTAGTGTTATAACAAGGTAAGACACTAATATTTGTCTTGTAACTGAATTTCCAGCCCAAGTAGAGAAGTCCCCTAGGTAAAAATTGTGCACTGTCCCTTTAAGAAGCCAGGCAAGATGGAGCCCTCCCAGCTCAAAGCTAGAGGTTTCCAGCAACCTGATAGGGATGCTGGAGTGTGACAAAAAGAAAGAATGCTAGAAGGGTGGTAGCGAAACTGTAACACTAGGAGTGGAAACAGAGGCTGTAAACACACAACACGCTTCAGTGCGCAGGGACTGGCCTCGTGGCTGCTAGGGGCTCGAGAGCACCACCCTCCACCCCTCTCCTCCACCCTACTCCACCCTGCCCCACCCTTCTTTCCTCCTGGAGGGAGCCACCACCAGAAATGCTGCCACGTCCCCGCTCCGCCAAGACCCTGTGAGGGCGGCTGCAGGCGAGGTGCTGACCAGACAAAATGAAAGGGACTTACTTTGGGGTTCCGCGCCTCCGAAGGCATCCTCTCCTTCCAGCCCCTTCCAGGGCCAGAGCGCTCTCGGAGTCCTCGCCGCCTGGCACCACGAACCAAGCCCAGGGAGACTTAGAGAGATGCCGGTGCACTCGATAGTACTGATCTTAGGGCGAGACAGCAGGGTGTAAGGGAGTTAGCCAGGGGCGGGAATGCTGGTAAGAGCTAACCTCCCCCCCCCCTTTCCTCTCATTCGCACGAGCGTCCCTCGCCCAGCGTTAGCAATATCAGGGGCAATGGTTTTCTTGTTTCTCCCTTTTGGTTTCTCCCAGCTGCCTGTCCCAGACCCCACCCAGCGGCTCCACCCCATCCACTGCTACACATTCTGTCAATCACCAGCCCCTTTAAAGCTGCATCACACAACTTGGGTTTTCCTCCCTCTTTGATGGGCGGACAGAATCCTGGGGCCTTTTTAACAATGCCCCAGACCTTTTTGTTGGGTTTAATTAAGCTAAGGTTAACTCCTAGTGGAGGCCTCCCCTGCTCACCTCTGTCCTGAAGCTTGCCCACTCTACCTCACCCAAACTCCTTCCGGCCAAGCCTGGCCCAGCTCCACTACACCCCACCCGGTCTCTGAACTTTGTTTCTGGTGAAAGCTCTTCCTTGGCCAGCCAGAACTCCAAGAAAGTTCCTGTTACGCCCTCCTTGGCACCGCCCACTCTCGTGCACTTTCTAGACTGAAGGGGCTTAATAGCTCTCCTGGCCTTTGGGGCTTCTCCAGTTATGCCTGGCGCAAGAGGGATACTATGTTTATCTTTCATCCGTGTGAATCTCCAAATTTCTGACCAGAATGGAAAAAGAGGCTGTAGTGATTCCCAAAAATCTGTGTGATACCTTTAACAAACATAAAAAACCTTCCAGTACCACCACCCCACTCCACAAACAGGCAACTCAAAGGTCAGAAAAAAGCATTGAGGACCCATGCCACAGGCATCAAGTGGGGCTCCACAGTGACTCATCAGAAATTTTGTTTCTTGCTAGTGTCCATTTCAGTAAATGATGACACCTGGTTTCGAGACCAAAGAAATATTTCTTAGCGCCCCCCCCCCAAAATTTATTGGCACCAACTTTGACCCTTTCCCCCTCCCAGGTCACTTTCAATTCTACACAACATCCTTTTGGCTCTGATTTTAAAATATGTCCAGGAGCCTGGCGGTGGTGGTGCATATCCTTTATTCCCACCCACTCGGGAGACAGAGGCAGGCAGATCTCTGTGAGTTTGAGGCCAGCCTGGTATACAGAGCGAGTTCCAGGACAGGTTCTAAAGCTACACGGGGAAACCCTGTCTTGAAAAACCATAGATGGTTAAACTCAGCACTAGGGAGGCAGAGGCAGGCGGATTTCTATGAGTTCGAGACCAGCCTGGTCTACAAGAGCTAGTTCTAGGACAGCCTCCAAAGCCACAGATAAACCCTGTCTCCAAAAAGAAAACAAAACAAAACAAAAAACAAAAAAACGGATGGACAGACACATAGATAGAATCTCCTGAAGTTGACCACTTCTCACCGTTCTCCACCTCTTAGGCTCTAGCCACTGCAATTTCTCAACCTGATTCCTATGAGAGTCTCTTCAAAGATCTCCCTCTTTTCTACATTGATTTCCCTAAAATCAATTCTGTAGTTAGAAAAGTTTTACAGGGCAGAATTAAATGGCAAATCTGAAGAGGAAGCACTTATCTTTTTAAAATCTTCATTGCTTTTGGATCCCAAATTCTACCAGAAACATGATTCTTCCCTCTCTACCTCCTTATTTATAAATAATCATACTCACAGTGGTACAGACATGCTTGTGGTTTTTAGTCCAGTATGCTAAGTTCTGTCTCAAAGGCCGGCCTCCATGTTACCTTTCTGTTTGCTTCTATCCATAGTGAACTCACAATCTCAATGAATGGTGTTTGCAAGTTTTTAGCAGCAGAAGCTTGGTGAGACCAGACTTAGCTATCCTTAACATACTAAGTAGTGTCTACCATATAGTGGGGACCCAAAAAATACATGCTTAAAAATATTGGGACTGGAGAGATGATTCAGCAGTTAAAAGCACAGGCTGCTATTCCAGAGAACCCAGGTTCAATTCTCAGTACCAACATGGCAGCTCACAATGTCTGTAACTCTGGTTCTAGGGCTTCTGACATCCTCGAAAAGACATACATGGAAGCAAAACACTAATGATCATAAAATAAAAAGTTAAAAATATTATGGGAGTATCTTCAGAGATATATTGGGTAATATCTATTTTTATTTTATTTGGTTTTTGTTTTGCTGTTATTGTTTCCTTGAGGCAGGGTTTCTCTGTGTCACAGCTCTGGCTGTCCTGGAACTCACTCTGTAGACCAGGCTGGCCTCGAACTCACAGAGATCCACCTGCCTCTGCCTCCCAAGTGCTGGGATTAAAGGCGTGGGCAGCCACCCTGCTTTTTTTTTTTAACCATATATTGTGTAACTCAATTTGTAGTGAACTATGATATTAGGAAAAACAGACAAGCTGATGGGCTGGATGTTAATTGGTCAGAGACGTAGACAAGGAAAATGAAGGGCATTAGGTATGTAAAAAAAAAAAGGACTGTTTGAGCAATTTTATGAATTCTGGCGTTGATACAGAGTTATCAAAGGCACCCTGTAGAAGGACATAAGGCTATTTAGTCTCCTGAGAAACGTCTTACAAGAATAAGAATCCTTTCTTTAGGAGCTGTCTTGAGCCATTATCAACACATTCTCAATTGCTTAGCCATCATATGTTCTCAGCTATTATTTTGCCTACAGATGTTACCAGGCCCATGTATCGAGACTCTGAATGTTAGCCAATTATTGCTATTAGAAACTTGTGATATAAATCCAAAATAAGGCTGTTTAATAAATAAGGTTTCTGGCCAAAATAAAGCTGTTTAATAAAATCCTCTTAGATGTATGAATGAATGAATGAATGAATGAATGAATGAATGAAAATTAAGTTCTCAATAGCCAATTTAGTAGCAGAAAACTGGGACTGGTTCTGTCAGCATCCCTCAGTACCTGTATCTCCTCCCAGCTCTTCTAGCATCCCTCAGTACCTATGGCTCCTCCCAGCTCTCACAGCATCCCTCAGTACCTCTGACTCCTCTCAGCTCTCACAGTACCCCTCGGTACCTGTAGCTCCTCCCAGTTCTTCCAGAACCCCTCAGGACCTTGGACTCTTCCGGGATTTCTGAGAATCCCTCTGTATCTCTGACTCCTCCCAGCAGCCCTCAGTACTTGTAGCTCCGCCCAGTTCTCCCAGCAGCCCTCAGTACCTGTGGCTCCGCCCAGCACTTCCAGAATCTCTCAGTACCTCTAACTGACTCTTTCCAGCTCTTTGAGATTCCCCCGTATCTCTGACTCCTCCCAGCAGCCCTCAGTACCTGTGGCTCCTCCCAGTCCTCCCAGAAGCCCTCAGTACCCGGAGCTCCTCCCAGCTTTTCCAGAATCTCTCAGTACCTCTGACTCTTCCCAGCTCTCTGAGAATCCCTCCGTATCTCTGACTCCTCCCAGTTCTCCCAGCAGCCCTTGGTACCTATGGCTCCTCCCAGTTCTCATAGTATCACTCAGTACCTCTGGCTCCTCCCAGAACTTCCCACCCCACCCTCTACCCTAAACCTTTTGTTCCTAGGGCCTGGTCTTGACTTCTCTTCTCCTAGCCTGATTATCATATCATCCAGCAGTTTTGGCTATGCTCTCTTGGTCCCTGACTGCTTTTTAGTAGGCTGCTCCTCTCTTGCTGTCCCTCCGTCTCTCCTCTCAAGAGCAGGTTTAGTCTGCTAGCCATGTTCAGCCTGTACCCTTTCCTCTCCCTTTCTCCCCTACATCTACACTAAAAATCTTCTTCATACTTCAGGAGTAGCTGTCCTCCTTTTATTTGATCTTTTCATTAAAAAAAAGAGCAGATTTGTAAATGTAAGAAAAATCTCCAGGTCCTCTAATATCATTGACTACCCCTGTAACACAGAAATATAGAGGAAAATAATACACATTAACCTAAGGTGGTTAAGAAAGTAGAGAATTTAGCTAAGAAGGAGTTCTTGTAAAAAAAAATAGGAATCTCTGATAGTTCTTGACATGAAAAAAAAAGAAAAAACAGCTGGGCGGTGGTGGCACACACCTTTTATCCCAGCACTTGGGAGGCAGAGACAGGCAGATCTCTGTGAGTCCGAGGCCAACCAGGTTTACTGAGCGAGTTTCAGGATCTAAACTAGAGCGAGCTTCTAAAGGTAAAGAGAAGCCCTGTCTCGAAAATAATAATAATAATTGTCTTATTTTGGTTTTTCTTTTGTTTTGTTTTCTGAGACAGTGTTTCTCTGTGTAACAGCCCTGGCTGTCCTGGAACTCACTTAGACCAGGCTAGACTTAAAACTCACGGAGATACTCCTGCCTCCGCTTCCCTAGTGCTGGGATTAAAGGTGTATACCACCACTGCCCAGCTTCAACATTGTATGCTTTATGAAAATCAGAGCAGGCACGTTAGTAAGGATGGTGAAGAAACTCCGGGCAATCTGGCGGCAAACGGAGATCACAAACCCCCAAATTCATAGGTTAAATGACAACAGATGTTTTTAGCCTACAGTATATGTGTGCAACTATATACACAAACATACATGTGTATATATCAAATTGAAGAGATTACCAGCATTGAAAAATTATATAAAAGTTCACTTTCTACATAAAAAATAATTTACCATGTTTGTGCAGACTTTCCAATTGGCCATTAACTGGTTGGAAATCATCATGCCCGGCCCCTTCCGACTCATCAGATCTTATGACCTCGCCATAGCCCTGCTCTGAGCATTTCACTCATTTACACCATGACTTGGGCCTGGGAAGGCATTTCAGTTTTTAGTCTTTAATAAATAAGAAAAGGCTGTAAGCTGGACATCTGAAAGCTCCCAATGATCCTCAAATATCCAGGAGCAGTACTTTGAGGATTCTTCAGAGGGACTTTGGCTTCATGATTACATATGTGCCCATTTGGAGGGTACACTTAATATGAGGCCTAACTGCTTTTGCAGAAAACATGCCCTGCCACTATGCCATGGTTGTACCACCACTCTGTCTCGAATGCAGTTCCCTGAGAGAGGGAATAGGAGCTACATGTAATTTA